TCCTTGAAAACAGTTCTGCTGTAGGTCACATGACGGAAGAGGGAGGAGGGATTTAGAATGGGACAGGCAGAGACATTCCAAGCTATGTCCGACTGCCTTTCCTGTACGGATGCTTCAAGGGACTTTTTTTTTCCTGGAATTTTCAAGCTGAATCCAGCCTATTTTCAAACTTGGTTTTTGTTTTGTACATTTTCAAATTTTGCCCTGTTCTGTTTTCAGAGCATCATTTTGCTGACAGGCAGACAAGCCTGTTTCCAAATTTCTTTCCAACATTTGATTGGGTTGGAAGGAAAGAATAAAAAGCATGAAATTGAGCAAAGATATGTCATGCTTCCCTTTTTGTTCTGCTTCCAATGTTGCAAATAATAAGTTCTAAACTTCCTTCCTGTGTGTGGTAGGTGAGAAGATTATTGAGGCATGGCAGTGGTTTTCTGTTCTTGTTAGCCTTTCAAGTAAGCAGAAGTTTTAAAAAAAAAAAAACCTTCTGGGCATTTGAGGAATGAAAATGATGGTTGTGTGGAAGTGCCCTTAAACAGTTAATTACAATTTGACTAGTTAAGGCACTTCTAGTTTGACTAGAAGTAACTAAATTACTCTGGTTTGGACAGGGTTTTATTATTGTAGATCTGGTCTTACTCAAGATGTTTGGTGGGGAAATGCCACATTAGTGGCTGAAGATAATTTGCACATAAAAAGTCTTAGTATCTATTCCAGCATCTCTAGGTAAGGCTGGGAAAGATTCCAGTCTCAAATCTTGTAAATCTGCCATTGATCAGTGTTAACAGTACTGATCTCACTTAGTATTAAGCATCTCCCTGTTGTCTATAAAACTAACACATTTACTAAGAAAAGTAAATATATTAAATATTCTAGACCAAGAAGATTAAGACAGTCTCCTTGTTAAGCAGGATAATTATCCATTGCATGCTTTCTGCACATTTAGGATTCATAACTAAGTAGTATTCAAGTCTTTGATAGTTGGTATATTGGTACACAGGCTAGGTCATTTTACATACTATATAGCTCCTTGCTGAAAGAGCACACTTGGCTTCTCCTTATTTAATTCTTCCTAAGTAAGAAATATTTGGAGATTGTTGGAATCTTTACACTTTTTTTCCCTTGTAGCTACACTAATCATGAGGAATATTGGCTGAAGGATGACAGAAAACCATGCTGAAGCATCCTTGGAAAGACTGTCTCATGTTATGTCAGCTACACACAGCTCTAGGTTACTTACAGTACACTATTAAAATAAGACATCACCCCAAAGCCAGAAAAACATAGGTGAGTGTAAATGGGACCCAGGCTGGAGTATATGATTATATAGGAAAATTTTAAAAAGATATCAATGTCATATTTTGCTGAATGGTCCTTTTGAGGTGTTCCTCTCCACAATGGGGCATGGAAATATGCACCTGGAGCGACAAAATAGCTGGAACCCGGCCTTCTAGCTGTCACAAAAATTTCCTTGTGATGTGGAGACCATTGGAGCTGTAATGGGGATCCATTTTCTTGAGCTTGCCAGCCTTCATCACCTGAAGTACAAGGGAAGCACAGTTTACTGACCTGAGTTGGAAATCCAATCCATAGTCACTGACTCAGGAAATGTGACAGGAGAGAAGCAACAACTTCATCCATTGTATGTAGTTGAAACAGAGGTCAATGCAACCACATTTCCACTCTACGTACTTACTTTCTGAATGCAATGTCTTTTTGAAAGGGGCAAAGGAGCAGCATTCCCAACCAGTACTGTCTCTAGCCCTGGGATACCTCTATACCAGTGTTGTCCAAACTTGGCCACTTTAAGATGAGTGAACTTCAACTCCCAGAATTCCTCAGCCAACATGGCTGGCTGGGGAATTCTGGGAATTGAAGTCCACTCATCTTAAAGTGGAACACTGCCCTATACTAAGAAGATGATTTTGCCTAGAATGATTCCTTGCTGAAAAAGTTACTTTCTACACTAAAGAAGTCACTGGACATCTCTTTACAGACTCTTACTTATAGATACGCTACTTGAGGACACAGGCACCCTTCAGCGATATGAAGCTAGTATGCCAAAGGCAAGCCATCACTTTCTGTGCTGCCCCTTGACCAGTTTTATAAATAAGGAAAAATACTGCAATGTGCAGCATCAGTACCAGGTGACCAGAGCATTTCCAGTTGCTGATGTTGGGCCTGTTTACCCTTGTTCTCAACATCTGCTGGTCATTTGGGAACCCCAGGCTGAAGGTCCTTGGATTTTGGTCCAAAATCCAGCCACGGCTGCTCCACTGGTATCTGTAAGAAGCCCTTATACTGTGGAGTCCCTGGGGTTCTCTGAGCTTGGTTGTTTTCTTGCCAACGTTCTCTTCTATTGGAGCCCTTATACTGCTTAGCTGTTCTGTTTTAAAGAAATCCCAGTGACCCCCTGTTTAACACTCTGGGTTGGTATGTCTGAAAAAGCATGGAGACTCCTGAAAGTTCACTTAGAATTCAAGGAGCTCTTCAGTAAAATGCAAATAAATAACAGGAGGGAATGATATGCTAAATATGCTGGTGGAAATGAAAACATAACACGCCAATTACTTGACAAGCAGGGGTGGGGATTGGAGACATCAAGGGCCTTGTCAGATCTCTGTGTGAGATGGAGTCCAAAGTTCATTCGTACCCAGCCAGCCCCTCCACTAGTAATTTGGCCAAATACTTGGAGGCCTGTATTCAGCTGCATTCAGCATCTCTGTGACCGTTTGATTTACACCCAGATTGAAAGAAAAGAATGAATCATAGATGAGAGAGAGAGATAAGTTACGTGTTACTTATGTTATATTCACCTATAGAAAGAAAACAGGAACAGGACACTTATTAAATATATTCCTCATACGCTAGAGTTACAAAGTAACATTTGAATCAGCTCCGAGTATGGATCAATTTCAACTCTTCTCAGATGGAACGAAGCAAATATGGGAAAATTAAGCAGGCATATAACCAGAAAAAGAATGCAGATCATGCAAATGCAGTGAGGTTTTTTACCTTGTTGAAATGAAGATGTAATTTTATGGACACTATAATTTTTCCCACTGGAGCATGTAGTTGAGTGTCCATAACAGAAGCATGGAGAACAGCCCTCTGGATTTCTTGCATTTAAGTTATAATAGCCCTGCTTGCAGCTGTGAGAGACAAAAATCAAGACACCAAATTGTAGTTCTCTTAAACATTTTGACAGATTTCCCTTCTGGATTCTTCTGCTTGTCTGTTGTGATATGAAAATATCTGAATATCTAGCCTTAAGAAACCTCTGCCCAGCAAAAACCTTCTGGACTCTGAGATTAGCCATCATTAGATATTCTAGGCTATCACTGGGAAGAAGCAGTATGTTTCTATTCAAATGATCTTTTCATGGTAGAATGGCTATCATTTACCCCACACAGAACATACAAAAGCTACAATCTGGTAAAAAAATGAATTTGATCCATGGTATATCAAGCTCAAAACAATTTGTACATATGACAATTTGGTCATGTGAGATCTCAGCATATATTCCAATTCCAATGCACGTGAGAAAGACTTGAGTGCCTCTTTTTTTGCTTGAGTGCCATATCTTTGTTTGCACTAAAATTCTGGTATAGTGTCATCTGGATTAGCACAGCAAATTCCAGTCTTTTTCCCTACTTGACCTGTATAGCTTGTATAACCTGTATAACATAGCTTTTAGTATTGGACCAAGATTAAGTACATGAGTGTACTCATACATCCGTGGACCACAGCCCCACCTTACAAATGTCAACCCCTTTTCACAATCCATCAGAAATTGAAATAGCTGTATAAATAAATCGTATCTAAGGATTCAGTCAGATACTTTGTCCCCTGTTCAATATCTGCATTCTCTACATTTTACAGACAACCATAATTTAAGTACAAGTTAGGCTATGGACATGGTAAATGTACTTCATGTACATGTCAACAAATTTAAAAGCACAAAGCATGAAGAAGTTATGAATAATCAAAAGTTATTAGACATAATGCAAAGTGGGATTGCTCCATTGTCCTACTGATATGATGATTCAAAACTAAAAAAAAGGAGATTTGTTTTTACAGCCAGCATGTATCAGCCTTCTACAAACATCTAGCTGGTTGCTACTAAAATGCTGGTCTAATCCAGCAAGGCATGTTTCATTTTGAGGAAAACCAAAAGCAAAACACCACAGCACTTCGGTCATTTTTATATTTCATTCTTTGCAAAACATTCACAGGCATGTAGGCTCAAAGACTCTTGATCTTAGATAACATGAAATGAATGTGTGTTGTACAAAGACTCTTGATCTTAGATAGCATGAATTGAACGTATGTTGTACTGTTCTAAGATCTTTGAGTGTAATGTGTGAATCTTTGCAACAAGAAGAGACTCCAAGACCCTTTCACCCATATGTGCTTTGGAGAAAGGTACAATAACTGGCTTAAAAAGTACAAAATGTACTTGAGATCTAATGTAGGTTTGGCCTGGATCTTTCTGAGGAAGAAAACAGGCTGCCTCCTGACAAGCAATTTAGCCTAGGGATACACTTTATTACAGACACAAACATTTGGTTTCTTCTGTAGAAATCAGTTCTAGACATTGTGTACCAGCTGCCTTAAAAGACGTTAAAATAGTGCAGAATTTTAAAGAAAAGTTTGGGCAGAATTCTTTAAAGCTGGTTTAGATGCAGGATGTCATGTCCTAAGATAGTTGCTCTGGCAAAAAATTAGATTAGACTTGTTGATTAACACCATCATGTGCACTCTGACATAGGACTGCAATCAATTCTAGCTCTCTACGGCCTAAATGTGATCAAACATGGTATCTTATACGGAGATCCCTCCTTCTCCTTCACAATACATAGTTTCACCTACCTTCTGTACTGAAGTCACGGAACTGAGCTTTTCTTTACTCCTGCTAGCCATGATGCCCCCTTTTTTGGTAGCAGCTTTGTGTTTCTATGAGCATGTAGTTATCCTACACTGTGGACTAGATGGTGGAGCTTCTCCTGAGAAATCTATCCTGTAAACCTTCCCCCCACCTCCCCACCCCATATTCCAAATCCCCAGTTTCTTCTTCCCAGTGCGTTCTGTCCAAAGAAACAGAAAGAAATACCTATAGAATTATTTAAAGCTATGGGAGAAGCAAGTGCTGAAAACTCCTTATCAACAAATATAAAACAATATTTATGTGGCTGAGAAATTTGAAAATATTGGTGTATATAACTATAGTAAGAAAATAGATACAAGAGAATGTGCAAATTGCCAGTCCCTTCCTTATGCAAGTAAACTTTTGTTTACAATCTTACAGAGAAAAGTTGAGCCATACATGGAAAGATAAATGCAAAATGTCCAAGTAGGCTTTAGAAAAGGCAGAGGGGCAAGAGATCAAATAGTTGATGGATAATACAGCAAAAAAATTAAGAAGGGGGTTACTTTTGCTTTATTTACTACAGCAAAGCCTTTGATTGTATACAGTAGTTCATGCTAAAATATGGAATATATTAAGGCTAATGGGTTTGCCAGAATACTTGATAATTCTGAGACCTTTACAATGAACAAGAACCTATTGTAAGAAATGACTTTGGAGTGAGACATATACATATAGGTCTGTATCTGTTTAACTTACACAGCAAATCTATTATAAGAATAACAGGAATGGAAGAGATGACAGTTGGAATCCAAAATTGGTGGTTGAATCACTAACAATTTGAGAATGCAGACACCATTTTCTTATGGTGTTAAAGTACAGAAGACTTAGAAGACTCATTAGGAAAAAAAAATGGAAAAAGAAAAAATCTGGGTTCACATTTAATAGTAAGAAGACAAAAGTGAGATCAACCGGTATGCTTAGTGAATTCAAATCTGATATGGAGAAGTGAAGGGGGTAGACAGTTCTGTTTCCCTGGGCTCAAAAATAGAGATAGACAATGAGGTGGAGAAGTTAAGAGGAGATTAAATCTACAGGGGACAGCAATGACAAACTTAGACAAGGTAATGAAGGATAATGATATTTCTATGTATGGCTGTGAAAGCTGAACACTGAATAAGAATGAGAGAAAGGAGACAGTTTAGAATTGTGAATTTGGGGAAGAACAGACTGTCAGTTGGTTCTGGATGAAATCAAGACTGACGGCTCCCTGGAGACAATGATTAAGAAACAGCAACTCAATATTTTAGACAAATGATGAAAGCAGATGAACAACTATGCTTGGCAAGGTTGAGGAAAGTAGAAATAATTGAAAATAATGGAAAAGGTGGATAGATTGGATGAGGGTTATCAATGGAATAGCCTTGAAAAAGCTGTTATCACCAAGGACAAGTCAAGGTGGAAGGAATTTGTCCATTCAGTCACCTGAAGGTTGGTCCAACTAGTTAGTACCTACCTGTAAAAAGTTGTGAAATTTTCCACAATTCTTTTATCTACATTGTTTGATGCAGGTTCCTGCCCCCCAACTCCCAAATGGCAGGTGTGTGTGTGTGTGTGTGTGTGTGTGTGTGAAAAACAGTAAGGAAAAGATAAATTCCTAGAGTTGTATAGAGGTTGGATTTATCTTGGCTCCCAAAAATTCTGTTGTACCAAATCAGACATTACAGAGCAGTGTATTTTCAAAAATATTGAAACTCACAGATTTTTCCTCAAAGCAACTGAAATTGTCAGAATCTAAAATTGTGATATTACATATCAGGTTTCTTACTTTACGTACTGACTTTGGCCATTTCTACACTAGTGATTAGAGCAGTGCTTCTCAGCCTTAGCAACTTTAAGACGTGTGGACTTCAACTCCCAGAATTCCCCAGCCAGCATGCTGGGAGTTGAAGTCCACACATC